AGGTAGAACCTCCTCTGAGGTTCAGAGAGGGTAACTGGGCCTGCCCCCAGAGGGCGGTCCTAGGGATTCAGGAATGCCTTATGTGTAATAGCTCAGAGCCATCATGGTCACGAGTTTTCACCTCTCAGCTGGCTGTCTCGGCTGGGCACTAGAGGCCGAGTTCTTGGTGCTGACTGAGCAAGCCGGACCCGCCACAGGGAGCTTGAGGTCCATAGGGCACAGGGCATGGGACAGGCAGTGGAGAATGCACAGTGTCTTAAAGGAGAGAGACGGCAGACCCCTGGGATACACAGGCTCCAAGCATATACTCCAAAATGAACCCCAGCTGACAAGGTGGGCGTACATCCCAAAGCCTCAGGACCCCTCAGCAACTCTGGTTCAATCGCACTCCTGGCTGCGAGCTTCCTGGGGTGGGTTAGGGTCACATCCTCCACTAGGACTAGTTGCCATCAAATTGACTCCAACTCATGGAGACTGTCAGAGGAGAACTGGGCTCCTGGGGGTTTCCATTTCCATAGCTGACTTGGTGGGCGCTGACTGCCACGACTTTCTTCAGAGGTGGTGCTGGGTGGACTTTTCTGTTAGCAGCCAGACATGTTAAGTGCCTGCAGTACCCACCGACCTAGAGCCCAACACACAATGGGCAGAAATGCCCTTCTGCCAGTCATGTGCTCACCAAGCCCTCCCCCACCCTGTGCGCCCTGTAAGAGAGCAAGAGGTTAAGAGATTCTGCCAGATGAGCAGGGCAAAGTCTGGTGGTGAAAGGCGGAGATGAGAAAAAGAAGGGCAGATCTCCCACCCACTGCAAAGACTTGATTGGGTTATGTCCCTAGAGGGCGCATGCGGTTCAGGAGGCAATTGGGGATGGGAACATCTGGGGGTCAGTTATGGGCACCTGGCAGCTGGAGGCGATTTGAGCAGTTTATGGGCACCTGGCAGCTTTTTTGCTCCAAAAGAGCAAGCAGGTGGGAAGCAGGTGGGAAGCAGGTGGGGTCAGGTTTAGGAGGGAGTGCGGAGAAGGTGGTCAGCATCGTCCAGTTGTTCGGTGCGGACTGTGCGCCCGACCTGTGGAGGCAGGG